TAAAGGTAAGCTATGTAGATGCACACAAAGAACATAGAATTCTGACCACAGCGTCCACCAGAGACTTTAGCCATATACATTTCTGTTATTCTGTCTCTTGGCAAGGAGCTACATCCATGTTCCTGTGAGATTGCTACTCTGTCAACAGTCTGGAGCAGCAGTCTGCAATAAGAGAGCTTTACCTTGTTCTCAGCTTGCAGACTGATGGGTGCATGGAAAGAACAGTTCTGGTAAAGCCACAAAACCTTCCTGGATGCTGCAAGGTTCCTGGCTCTTTAAAAACCTGACACTAAGCAGGATCCACACTGAGGTTGCTGCTTTTGTCCTTACAACAAAGTATTTATTGGAATCTGCTATGGCCTTGAACTTGCAAGCTCTAGATGATTAACCATGCACCTCTAGCATCCACACCACTACTGGAGGCACTGAGCAGCATAAAGAGCAGCCCATATCAGATCCTCTTTGAGAGCCACCAAAATATTTGTCCACCCTTAGCTCAGGTGCAGCCAGTTAATTAATTATCCCAGCCTGTTGTTTATTAGGGGAGGCTGATTGATGGCCATGCTTCCGTTTTCAATCAGAAATCCAGTTACAGGTGCTTTAATGGACATTTAATCTCAGCAGTGCCCTCTCTGCTACCTGCAATCAGTAACTTCAGAAGTGGATTTATCAGTTAGCAAACTGGAGAAGGCCTCAGGATTTCGACCAGAGCTAGGGAGTCCTTTGACCTATTGATTACAACAGGCCGTGGGCCTAGCCCACTAAAATTGTGTGTGCCACCACTGTAGGGCAGTGTGGAGCCTTGTTAAAATCAAATAAATACAGGGGACAAAGAATGAAAAACAGGGTGTGCACGTGAAGGTCATAGGGCCAAGACAAGTGCTCCCTGGGGTGCACTGAGCAGAGCACACCGGACAGCGCACACCGACACTCAAACTCAGCTAGAGTGCTGGCAGCTACTGCCCAGCGATGCTCCACTCGGATTCACAACCGGAGGAGACCAAGGAAGAATGCCCCAATGTCCCCGGGAACCCTCCCGGCCAGAGCCTCCCACCTGGTTAGCCAGACTGTCAGCTTGGCCAGAGCCAGGAGGAGGTTGACCAGGAGGTCCCGGGCCTTAGTGGGGCAACGGATGGGGAGTGCATAAATAAAAAGGTGTGGGGAAAAGTGCAGCCAGAACCTCACAGCAGGTTCTGGAGGAGGAGGTGTAGGGGCTGCAGCCTGGTGCACTCCAATACCATGTGTGCCAGGGTCTCCCTCTGCCCACAGAATGGGCATGAGTCGGGGCTGCCTCAAATCATGCCAGATACATGCCTGTTGGAACGGCTCCTTGAAGGAGCCACCAGCCTAGGTCCCTGGTGGCTCGGGGGATCAAGGTGGAATACAAACTCTGCCACCCGGGTCCATCGGCATCGCCCTCGCCTAAAGTGTCCCACCACTTGGTGTCTGGGCGGGACACGAGGGCGTAGTGGTGGATCGTGCGGTAGACGAGCGTGTAGAGGTGGCACCAGTGGGCTGTGGAAAAGAGGACCGGGTGTGTGTCCCCCAGGCAGCTACTAGGGAGTCCTTTGAGATGCCTGGAAAAACTGAGGAACCAGAGAAATGCCCTGTGAGTGCCTTCACATTGGCACAAACAATGGATTTGTCCTCCCACCCACGCTGGCACCAGAAGTGTCCTTCCCTGCTCTTTGGTGGGTTTGTTGTGAACCTCTATCATACACATCATGTGCTATGTCCTAAATCAAGCCCGATTACCATATACCACTGTCAAATGAGGGAAGGACACTGTCAGGCACAATTCCTAAACATCAGTGAATCCTTGCAATGCCCCTGTGAGGTAGGGTATCATTGTGTGTTTGCTGTAGAGGGCTTCAGGAAGGCACTGAAGAGCAAGAGCCTTCCCCAAGGGGAGTCAGTGGAAGTGCTTCTTTCTTACAAAGAGAAGGTTGGTTTTGTGCTAAGGGCACTGCACTGGAAATAAGGAAGTCTTGTTTCAAATCCAGGCTTCACTACAGACTCTCTGGGTGACCCTGGGCAGTGCTGGATGACCTGGCTGTGAATAAATTTAGGCTGAAAACTAGAAAAAGATTTGTAGCCATCAGAGCTGGGTGGTTCTGGAGCAGCTTCCTGATAGTGGTATGGCTGCCTGCAGTGCCAGGGGACTCAACTGAAAGAGCATGGCGGTCCCTTCCAGTCTGGTGTTCCTAAATCACTTGCTCCCAGGTCCTCAAAGATGTTTGGGTACCAAACAGCTGCTGAAACCAGTTGTAGTTTGATGTCTGATGACTTTGAGAATTGGGTGCTTTGCCCCTCAGTGCATCAACTCCCCAACTCTTCTCCTGGGATCAGGTAACGCTTAGTTTCTCCATGCTGTGTCTGTCTTTTCTGGTTAAGATCCTTGTGGCAGATGCTGTTTCTTTTACATATACTTGGACATGCCTTGCGCAAGAGATGCCTGCACATGACTGGGGCCTGTTGGACAAATCGCCAATAGAAACAGAATACTAGGCCTGGCTCCCAGGCCCCCTGCTCCAGTGATTTGACCTGCCCTGGCCAGCTGTAGCATTCAGAGCTAGGACAAGCGGTTACTGGCTGATCCAAAACCCAATCCATGCTGCTTCTGACATGATCACCTCCCTGTTGTAACTAAAGAGAGTGAACTGAGCTTCAAATGGTCTTCCAAGTCTTTTGGTTCATCACTTGGCAGTGGCTAAGTGGAAATAAAGCCCGGTAGGTGGCTCTCTCTCTGCCTATGCTCTCTCTCTCTCTGAGCTCTGATATGTGATCTGAGTCCCAAGAGGACGAAGAGTCTGTTATCACCATAACAAATGATGTCACTAGGAACCCAGCTAAGCGCAGGCAGCGAGAGGAAGCTGCAGTGTTAAAGAAAATAGTGAAGGATGGAGGAAGCCAAAACCACAAATCAGAATGCAGCCAGCTGCCCATACTTCAGATTTTATCAGGGCTGTTTACTGAGCAAGTATCCATGCAGGAATCTGCTCCAACCTCATAAGA